ATTTTTAAGAGTTGTAACATTCCCAAAAACAATAAAGCCATATTGAAAAATAAAAGTCTGAGGGAATTCTTTTGTAAAATGAATACTCTTCTCTCAATTTTCCATTTTCAAGTTCTGTTTTGTTTTAGGGTTTTTTTTTTAAACAAAGCATAAGTATTTTGATAATTCCCTAAATTACGTGAGGAATATATTTGTTTAGGTTTATATATAGGAAAAAATCAAACAAAATACACATTACTAGAGATGGTCTATGGATGATGATACCACAGGTGAGTCTTCATTTCTCCTACTCCTTGTATTTAAAAAATGTCTTTATAATGGAAGAATTCAGTTATTAAAATGTAAAATATTTTTCTTAAATAACTTTCCTTGATACCTGATACTTTTCAAACCCTTTGCTCCCTTGTTACTAGCAGTGACAGTCATAACATAAACCTGTCTTAAGGAGACAAATTCTTTCATGCTAATGCTGCTGAAGTAGCAATGTGCAGAGATGAAAACATATGACACTTGGTAAGTCCTTATGACTAAGGATGAAAGATACAAAGTTCTCTTTAAGGTAGTGGGGGTTTCAGTCACCTGTCTCTATTCTAGCAACATTAATAAAATGATCTTCTGATGTTGATGCCTGAATTTTCCCATCATAGCTAAAACTGATGGTCCTTACAGGCCAATCTGGCCCACAATACAGGGTGCAAAAAGGACACATTAGAATTCCTAAGGCATAAAGAATTAGAAGAAGGCATCCAGGATGAAATAAAACTAATTACCCAATAAGCAAAGTACTAGCAGATTTGCTTACCTAGAAATGCATTGTACCACACTGACTCATCCACATCCCAGAGGCTGACCAAAGTATCTGCACTTCCTGTAGCAAAATACTTCTCCCTGGGTCAAACCACATAGGAAGGGCATTAATGGACTGCATAGGCTTTGGTGCTAGATAGCTGAAAAACAAGAGAGACAGCAGTAAAAGGACTGTGACACTAAGAAGATAATAAGAACCCCTGAAGAAAACCAAAGTAAAACAATAGAACAAATACCAAAAACCATAATTCAAGAAAGCTTTACCAAAAAAAAAAAAAAAAAAAAGATTTCAAGCTACATATTGAAAGAGCATACCACTTACCTGAGAATGTGAACCCAAAACAACCAACATCAAGACATAAACTAATAAAAATACTAAAGTTTAGGGGCTCCTGGGTGGCTCAGTCAGTTAAGCGACTGACTTGACTTCAGCTCAGGTCATGATCTCAGTGTTGTGAGATCAATTCCCATGTTGAGCCCTGCATGGGGCTTCACACTGGGCATGGAACCTGCCCAAGATTCTCTCCCTCTCCTTCTGCCCTCCCCCTGTTCGTGTTCTCTCTCTCTCTCAAAAAAAAAAAAAATTACTAAACTTTAAAGGAAAGGCCTTTGGGCATCTAGGCAAAAAGAGCAGATGTTTTTGAGGGACAGTATTAAGCCACCACCAGAATTTTTGACAGCAACACTTTATGCCCCGTATCTATGCAGGAAAAAAAAATTGAGAAACATGTTTAAGATACACAAGGTGAAAAATGTGAGTCAAGGACTTCTATATCCTGCAAAACTTACTTTCAAGTGTAAAGGGCACAAATGAACTTTATTAGCAATAAGGAAGAAGTCAGGGTGCCTGGGTGGCTCAGCTGTTAAGCGTCTGCCTTCAGCTCAGGTCACTTTGAAATACACTCCCAATCTAACAGCATTTGTCACACACTCCTCTATCTCTTCTCAGTCCTACCTTCTTATTCACCCCAACCTTCTCCTCACTACAGTCTCTACCCCTCCTCTCTCCCCATCCCTACACCCTCTCTCTCCTTACTCCTCCTACTCCCTCCTTCTCATTCCCACCCCCTCCTCACCCCACCCTCTTCTGCACCATCATTCTCTCCTCATCACCGCACTACACTTCTCCATCACCCTTCTCCCTGGCCTAGGCTGAGTCCTGACAGCTCCCCCAAAAGGTCCTCGTCCCCCAAGAAGACACAGACCATTTTGTTCAAGGACTCCAAGGCAAGGCAGGCTCAGTGGCAGCATACACCCTCTGCCAGGAACTCTTATGTCTTGCTGTGGATGCAGAACAGCTCAGAATCTTGAGCACTTAGCAGGACAGGCTTGAGATCACTGAGTTCCAGGGGGCCACTGAATCTGGACTGCTCTGGCCCAGAGATAGGACCCCATTGCTGCCAGGACCACCACAAGGAGCACCTCGTCAACAAAATTACTGTGGACCATGGCCTGTTCTCTGGCTGCTTCCATGTGAATGCATGTGCCCAGAAGTGAGGCAGAGGACTACAAATCCACCCTGTGTCCCCAACACACTGAAAATCCCAGCATGCAGCACATGCTCATCTTTGTCTTTTCAAACAATGATTTTGCCTTAAAAAATTTTTTTTGAAAGAGGGAAGCAAACCATAAGAGACTCTTAACAGTAGAGAACAAACTGAGGGTTGATGGAGGGGGGTGGGTGGGGGATGGCCTATATGGGTAATGGCACTTGTTATGATGAGCACTGGATGTTATAGTAAGTGATGAATCACTGAACTCTGCTCCTGAAACCAATATTACACTACGTGTTAAGTAACTAGAATTTAAATAAAAATTTGGAAACAAATAAATCACTCATCTATTCAAGAAAAAAGTGGCATAATTTCTTTTATTTAGATATAATTCATATAACATAAAATTCACCCTCTAAAGCCTCAGGGCTTTTAATATGTTCAAAAAGTTGTACAGCCATTATGACTACCTAATTTCAGAACACTTTCAGAAATCACCCCAAGTAACCTTTTACCTATACAGTCACTCCTCATTCCCTCCTCCCAGCAACTACTAATCTACTTTCTATCTCTGTGGATTTGCCTTATCTGGACATTTCATATAAATGGAATCACATAACATGTAGCCTTCCTTCACCTAACATAATGTTTTCAAGATTCATCAATGTTATAGCAGGTATCAGTACTTATTCCCTTTTATGGCTAAGTTATATTCCATTGTATTCCATGGATATTCCACATTTTGTTTATCTAATCATCAGTTGATGGACATTTGAGTTGTTTTCACTTTTTGACTATCATAAATAATGCTACTATGAGCATTCATTTTTCTGGGAACATATGTTCAGTTGCATATTTGTAAATATTTTCTTCCATTCTACAGGTTTTCATTTTCTTTTTAAGTAATTATTATTATTATTATTATTACTAAAGATTTTATTTATTTATTTGACAGAGAGAGACACAGTGAGAGAGGGAACACAACAAGCAGAGGGAGTGGGAGAGGGAGAAGCAGGCCTCCCACTGAGGAGGGAGCCCAATGCGGGACTTGATCCCAGGACCCTGGGATCATGACCTGAGCCGAAGGCAGACGCTTAACGACTGACTGAGCCACCCAGGTGCCCCTCTTTTCATTTTCTTACCTGTGTCTTCTGAAACACAAATGTTGCTCCAATTGGTTTTTCTGGATCTTATACCCTTATCAGATATAAATGAAGTCCAAAATATCTAGTTTTCTTTAGTTGTTTGTGCTTTTAGTGTCATACCTAATAAGCCTAATCCAAGGTCATGAAGATATTTTCTTCTAAGAGTTATATAGTTTTAGCTATTACATCTAGGTCTTTGATTCATTTTGAGTTAATTTTTGTGTATGGTGTGAGACAGGGGTCCAAATCAATTCTTTTGCATGTGAATATCCGGTAAACACATTAAAATCAGTTACATCTTGAGGCACCTGGCTGGCTCAGTCAGTAGAGCATGCAACTCTTCATCTCAGGGTTGTGAGTTCGAGCCCCATGTTGGGTGTAGAGGTTACTTTAAAAAATAAATAGGGGCGCCTGGGTGGCTCAGTCATTAAGTGTCAGCCTTCGGCTCAGGTCATGATCCCAGAGTCCTGGGATTGAGCCCCACATTCGGCTCCCTGCTCCACGGGGAGCCTGCTTCTCCCTCTCCCACTCCCC